CACACACACACACACACACACACACACACACACACAGTTTCTCTTACATCTATTGCCAGTGACACAGCGTCAATAGCTGCCTGGAAGTCATGTTGTTCATAGTATTCCTTGGCTAGTCTGATGTTTTCTCTCTGAGGCTCCAACAACTGGAGCTGTTTTTGTGCCTCGGCATTGCTGGGGTCTACTTCAAGCTGAAAGAAGAACATCACATTCATCATGACTTTATATTTAAAATGAACAACATCTTCCAACTCTAATTTTTAAAAGTTACTTTATTTTGACCATAATTTTTTTAATAGAATCAAAACTTAATGAAATATTATTGTGAATTATTTTTGCTTACTCCATGTCATCATCATTAGCTCAATTTTCTAGACAAAGAGAATTTATCTTTTCCACAGCTTTCCCATAATTTCATCAAAACTGATCAGTGCTTATAATAATAATAATAATAATAATAATAATAATAATAATAATAATAATAATAAAACTGCATTATTCATTACTCTATCCTCATAACTGGTATTCTGGCTCACCTAAAATATCATAAAGCACTTTGCTATATTTTTTGATCTTAAGTGAACAATTTCTTTATGTAAAAGAAGACACTCACCACAGCCAAGTAATCTTCCTCCGCTTCAGAGAGCTTCCCTTGTTTCAGTAAAACATTCCCCCTCTGCAGCCTGGCCTATAAAAATGGTTCAGCTTTTAAATTTCTTGAAAAATCTATGGTTCTACTATCACTGTCTCATTGCATTAAATTTGAACTTATTAAAATCATTAAATGTCCTCAAACAACGTTCTGTAATGACCAAAACAATACATACCGTAGCTAGTGAAGCTGTTCTACAATGTTCTGTAAGTAATACTGTGGAAAAACATACGAAAAAATCTGAAATCTGATGCTAGGAATAATGAAACCAAATTAAAACTGTCCAAATCATTGTAAATGACCCTTGAAAGTTCATAAACTTATTTAGATCATGTTAATAAAATTTAAACATAAACAGTTAATTATTTAATACTAACTGCTTGGAACTTTGGATCCAACTCTAAAACTTTGTTTAGATCTGGAAGAGCCGACTTTGATTTTCCTAAAGCCAAATAAACTGTGGCTCTTCTAAAATACACCAAGTAATTACTGGGATCCCCATCTGAAATAATAGAAAGTGACATCACATTTATAAGACTGATTATCTGACATGATTTTGGGCTGTAAAAAATAAGTAGGAAGAAATAGTTCAGTGGCCTGATGATATTGATATTGAATTTGAAAAAAAAATGTTTGTGAACAAGAAATGAGATGTAGATCGTTAACAAGCAAGGTGATTTAAAATGTGTCTGGAAAACAAACAGGGTGTGACAAGATAACTTACCTATAGCTGCGTTAAAATGTGTCAAAGCGTCTACAAGCTGTCCTGCAGCTAGAAACTTCTTCCCCATCTCCAGGTGGCGCTCTACATCATTATTACCAAATATACCTGGCGGAAAGACGATGGATATGGCAAAATTAACAAACATGCTTCCGTTGAAAAAAATGTACTTCAAATAATTGATTTTTTAGCTTAAATCAATTAACCATGAACAGATAAAATATTGACCAAAATTAAACTCAGCTGATATTTTGGCTGATATTTCGATTCACAACACTCTCAAGTGACTATGTGTTTCCAACAGACATTTAATCTTCCAATTTCACCTTCTGAAATTAAGTGACAACAGACAGTAACAATAGACCAAAACTTGGAAAATGAGAGAGAGAGAGAGAGAGAGAGAGAGAGAAAGAGCAGGAAAGTGGAGACAAGTACCACTGGTAACACCCCTGCCATATGACATTCTCTACTACTTTGTGCCCGATATTTTCTGTACATTTTGTATTACACTATTTTTTCACAGTAACTTTGCAGAAAAATTCAGATAAGTGGATATTTTATAGTTATAATAATTAATTTACTAGTAATTGCTACCAGTAGTTTTCCTGATAATTTACTGGTAGACTATTAACTTTGGCTGTGTAAGAGTGGGTTTTGTTACAGTGACATGACATTATTGGTTCATTTTTAAATACTACTGGCATTAGCGAAAAAATCTACCCCTGCTCCTTCAACATAATTTCGTTAGAAGTCACTAGAAAGATATTCTCCACTTAGGTTGGGTAGCACCACAGCCAAATACATGACAAGTGACTGGTACTGAACACGGTAGTGACAAGTTCTGAAGGTACACGGTCGAAATAAAATAATCAAAATTTTACTCACCGTATATATGAAAATCCAGAGCTAGATAAAATATAGAAAATGACCTAAAAAGGTGCGATATTGATGTAATCTCTCGCATTTTGCTGGTGCCGCTGCTACACACACGGCTTCTGCTAATGTACCAAGATGTTGGTCAGCGTGGGGTAATTTGATTGGCTGAAGCAATTACTTCCGGGTCAATTTTGTACACGTAGTGTGTCTTGGTTAAATGATGTTCTAAACACCACCTAATATCATATTCCCAACACGCAAGCTTTATGCCCTTTTTGATTTATGGTTATTGGTCTGGACTAAGATCCAAATACGCTGTTTTTTTGTTTGGTTAATCCATAAAATTGCAAGGCTGTCTTGAATGTGAAAGCGAGGTCTCCAACAGAAACAAACATGGTGGCGAATATTTTGACAAGCTGATAATGATCAACAAGTATTTCATGGGATTAAGTGCTTTTTGAATGAAAGTCAATGCCAATATTTGGTAAGTTTGTTTGCTTTAATTTCCTGAATGATCTCTCTTTTTTTCTCTCTCTTTCTCTCTCTCAATTATCATATTGTTTGCCTTACACTTCTGATTAAGACATCACTGAATCAAGATTTAATTGCATGAAAATAGGGGCGTGCAGGTGCCACTGCAGCGATTGCGTATCACGGTATCAACTTGAGATTTTAGGATTTTAAGAAATATGACTCATGAAATCCAATTTATGATTTGCAATCGAGATTGTTTGGAGGTGCAATATATTTATCTAAATGAAATTTGGGTTCATTTGAACACAAAAGCACAATTGATAACATTAAATTCTGTTTCAATTAAGAAAAGAAGCCTATGGAATGCATTTGAATGAAAAAAGGAAGCTAATTTGGGACACCAAGAGGACAAATATTTAAAATGCAATTTTATGTTTCTTTTTAAATATTTACACAAAGGTCTTGTCTTTGAAGTACTACAGTAGTATTACAGCCTTATATTCCAGATGATGGCATCTTTAACAGCACAAGATCAGAGGATCCCTTACAGTCCCCATATGAATGGGCCATATAGCAATGGGCCAGTGCAGGGAGGGGGGTATGTGAACAGTGGCAATGGAAGAAACTTGACATTCAGGAAGAGGTTTGAGAGGGTGGATTGGAGGAGAGTTGGTGAGCCACGTTTTTAAGAGTTTAAGGAATTTGTGAGGATGGAACTTTTTAAAAATAAATTTTAACTATGGTTACAAATGTGCAGGCCTCATTCATTGGTTTTGGATTTGATCTTTAGGGATGGAAAAATATTTTTTATAATATTTTGATTGTAATATTCACACTATTAGTCTACTGTTGTGTATTTATAAAGAAAATGCAAATGTTTTATTTCCTGGAATAAGTAAGGAGGAAAACACAATGTAGGTTTTTAACAGTTTAGAACAAAAGTAACAGGATGGTCCTTGGTTAGCTTAAGTTCAATGTCTAACTTAAGTAATTTGTAGGCTGCAATTTCATGTGTCTGTACCTACAGCTCAGCCAGGTAGGTCTGCAGGTCATGGATTTAATCTGCTTATACCGTCTGCTTATACAGTCTGCAAAACAAGGCCTTTTTTGCCACAGGTTCTTTTCTGTTTATTGGTTTGTTAGTTTGACGCTTAACTAAATGGTCTACTTGACAGTCAGTGTACCTTCACTTTCACTTTCAGCTGCCCTGGATGTGGACAGAATTTCAAGAGAGCTGGACTTCACTGCCCTTCAGGAAAACATCATGAACATCACATTCTGTAATATAGAGTCTGAGGTGGTAAGGTTTCAAGATAAAAAATTTAAAAAAGTGAAAGATGACAATGCCTAAGATTATACTGTGCAAGTCCAGAAAAAAGTGTTTAAAATGTGAGATATCTGAATCAACTATGTTGACTGAATGTAATGGAAACGGTATAAAGATGAATCAACTATGTTGATTTAATGTAATGGAAATGGTATAATGCATTGTTTTTACCCACACTTATGTATTGTTTTGTATATAATAAATCTTTGATATACATTTTAGCAGTAATATTTTGTTACTTTCCAATTCCAGGATATCCGTTTGATAGATGCCAATTTCATCAAGCTTTTCAAACTTGCCCAGCTAACAATAGAGTACTTATTGGTAGGTGAAGAGGAAGATTCAAGGAAAGAAATTCTCACTTATGTGTTTAAGAATGACTTCTCTTTTGTAAATTTGCAGTGTTGTTGTCCTGTCAGAATACATGTTTATCTTGAGATAATGCAGTGGTTAATATTCTTATTTAGTGTCTTCACGGAATGTTTATTTTATATTTTCTTAGCATTCACAAGATTATCTTTCTGATTGTGTGGCAACTCTTGAAGAAAAACTGCGCAAAGCCGTAGAGGTGAGAGAAGGGTCTTGTTGTGTTTATTTATTTATTTGTTTATTTATTTATTTTCCCTTATGAAATACACATGAAAAAATGCCAAACATTTTTGAATTAAATAATTTGATATAATGAACCTTACTAGTACAGAAATCTTCAATGCAATGTGTAGAGGCTGTACTCTCTTTCACAAGTTCTAGACATGTTCATGCACTTCCTGAAGTTTATAAATGAATAGACTTCTTGTCTCGAGTGCGGGAGCTCTTTTTAGGTAAATCTTTCATGTAACAGCAAGGCTGTTAAGTTGTTAGCCTCTCAAAGTGAGCCAGTTGTTGAGTTAATATGTATTTTCCTAAAAAAGAAGAGGTTCTAAGTTTATGTTTTCAACTTGATACAGGAACACGATGAGACCAAAAAGGAGGTGGAGAAGCAGAAGAAGGAGCTGGTGGAGGTGAAGAAAGAAAGTCACAAGAGGAAGAAGCTACTGGCTGCCCAGCAACAGATGCTGCAGTCAGGAGCAGGCAGCTATAATAAGGTACTGAGTGACTGAAAATGGCTCTATGATGCCTGTAGGAACATTAATATGAGATATACCTGTAAAGGTGTTCTTCAATTTCATTTGCATCACACAGCTGTAGGTATGAGTAGTTTTAAGTATAATATGAGAACAGTAACTGTATATTAACCATATCTGGAAAATTAGGAAATTTGATCACTTACTGGTCACTGATTTTGCTTTGGTCCAGTAGATTGGAAAATCCTGGTGTCCAAAAACAGCTGGTAGACTTAAAATATTTTTTTTAACATAATAATTAATATTTTTACAGTGCCCATACTGTGTGAAGGCCTTCATCAACCCAACCTTCCTCCAGTCTCACCTGTACAGGAAACACACTGAGCAGGTCAGCCAGTTTGGTCTGTCACAACCAGCACAACCTCAACCACAGCAATATCTGTCTCAACAAACGCAATCAGCACAATTGGCTCAGCAGCAGAATCTCACCAATGGGGTGCTGGAGAGAGAACTGAGTGAGATCAGGGAGAGGCTGAGACTGACTGAATCTCAGCTTCAGGAGGAGAGAAATGCTCTGAAAGGATTCTCAGTAAAGGTACGGGTCATAGCATGTTCACCAGTACACCTTATTTTATCCTACTTAATTGGCATTATGTGCCACCTGAAAGTGGGTTTGTGTAATACAGAAGGAAAATATTCTTAGTAGCCCAGTGCTTCTTTAACTTGCCTTGAGTGTCTTGCGGAGGAGACTGTATTTGATTTAGTCCATAGATTTGACAAAAACTTTGAGTTTTAATGTACATCACTGTTATTATCATTTACTAACCATGGTAATTTTTTAGCTATCAATATTATTATTAAAATCATTAATAACAATGCACTTAACAAAGGAGACAGTTTCTGTTATGGCTAAGACATCCATGAGCCAGAAAGTCTAGTAATCTAATTGTCCAGTAAAATAGTTATCATATGGGCTATAGATAATACTATGTCAAAATAATAAACAGTATATAATAATAATACACTGTGTTTTCTGCATTCAGGAGAAAGAAGAATGGGAACATAGAGAGAGGCAGCACCAGCAGGAGTTACAGTCTCTGAGAGAGGAACTGGAGACTGACTACAAGAACAGGATGGACAACATGCAGGCAGAGTTCATGGCTGAACTGAAAGCCACGCATAAAGAGCTGGAGAAATCCAGGCTTGATGGTTAGTGGACATAGAGTAGATGCATATGGTGTTTTAGGCATTGCAGTGAAGCAGATGTGTTGTTTGAGATATTGTTAATACGCTGTTCATAGCTGTGCACCAATTTCTTGTCATGGGATGTAAAATGGATGAAACAGATTTTTGGAGGCCAAAAGATGTCAGTAAAGTTACGTTATTGGGATGCAGTGGGACAGCATGATAATTGTTTTAAACAACAGAGAGGGTGTGTTTTAGTTAACTGCTTCTACAACACTTCTGTATTAGTAAATTATCTGAATTTTAGCTTCCCAGCGTAGCAAACCTTCCAATCTTGGGACAATGTACGATGAGGAAGAGATAGAAAATCTGAGGAAGGAGTTACGAGAGAATGAGGCAAAACGAGAGGAGGAGGTAAAAGTTTTGTGAAATGAATTTAAGTGAATGTAAGGATAACATGGATAGTGAGAAGGTGATACCATATCCAACATTAATATTTTTTGTACAGTTTCAGATGTCACATTGTCACGTATTATAGGTGTAAGAATAAAAAACTGCACATTTTCTTATGTGGGTTGAGTAATATCTAACAAATAGAATCACTAAAAACTTAAACTGTGGCTCAAACCTTTCATGTGCCATACAACACTGTTGCCAAATTTATCATATTTGCTTTCAGTTGCTTTGAATATTTTTATTTTTAAGTCATTTTATTTTCAGCTTGAACAGTTCAAAAATAGGGACAGGCAGAGAGAAGAGAAGGCAGCAACGGAGAGGGCAGAATATGAAAGACAATACAAAGAGAAGATTAAACAGGTAAGGAAGGAAGGAGTGAAGGAGAAGAAAGTTGAAAAGGTACCACTGTCCACTTTCAAAATGTCAAAAATTGTATCGAAAAATCATATCTTCAAGCTCTTATTCTGACATTGTGCACTGCCACCAACATTTTTCATAGTAGCTTCATTAGATCAGCGTAAGCTTTCAGAAGTGTCTCTGTGTCAATTCTAATATTAGAGCTTCTAGACTTTGAATATCTTTTGCCTTAGAAGACGCAGCTGTTTAA